TAATAAATAAATAAACAAGTCATTAAATAAAATCTGTGTAAAACAATAATTTCAGGTTTGATTTAGAGTTCTGGATCTTGTGGACCAGTAGAACCTCCTGGTTCTGCTGGTCCTGCTCACGGCCTGCAGGGGGCGCTCTGGGACTGTGCTGTTGGGAGGGACAGAACTCTGGTACCACCGGGTCAGAACGGGTCACAGCTCCTCTGGTTCTGAAACCTGTTATCTTTGTTCTTCTCTAATCTGGGTTCTCTGGTTCTGGATCAGGTTCTGTTCCCGGGTCAGGTCTACAGCTCGGTCCGTTCCTCCAACAGAACCAGAAGGGTCTGCAGGTTCCTCCTGATCAGACCAGAATCAGAACCAGAACCAGATTTTACTTTGGTTTATAGTAATCTGGATAAAACGGACCCATCAGAACCGGTCCTTCCACAGAACTGTGCAAAAGTCTTGAGTCATGAGGTTTAACCAAAGTGAACAGAACCGGACCAGGACTTCAGGTCCACAGAAGTCCTCATGGTACCACCAGGACCCGTGTGACACGGTCCTCATGAGAACTGGAGACGGGTCAGAACTACTGGATCAGAACCAGAACCTTTGATTTAAACTGATGGAGGAGAACCAGCTGAGTGTTGTTTAGTATCAGGTTAATGATGTCACCAACCTGTTGGATTAGATTAGATTAGATTAATCTGACCTGACCTAATCTAGATTAGATTAGATTAATCTGACCTGACCTAATCTAGATTAGATTAGATTAATCTGACCTGACCTAATCTAGATTAGATTAGATTAATCTGACCTGACCTAATCTAGATTAGATTAGATTAATCTGACCTGACCTAATCTAGATTAGATTAGATTAATCTGACCTGACCTAATCTAGATTAGATTAGATTAATCTGACCTGACCTAATCTAGATTAGATTAGATTAATCTGACCTGACCTAATCTAGATTAGATTAGATTAATCTGACCTGACCTAATCTAGATTAGATTAGATTAATCTGACCTGACCTAATCTAGATTAGATTAGATTAATCTGACCTGACCTAATCTAGATTAGATTA